GCCCATTTCTCGACCATTACACTCCCTTTGCCACCTCTTACAAAAGAAAAGTCTGTAGAAAAATGATCGAAATTAATAGCGCCAGCTGGAAAAATTGTCTTCTCTTGTGATTTCACATCTTTTTTTTATACAACTTAGCAAACAAGTGGCAAATAAGCTGACGGCCCACCTGATGGAAAGTGGTAACCGTCGCCTATAGACATGAGTAGTACCATAGACATAACAGAGTATACTGTTTTGCCCATGATACCCCCATGCGTTGCCATTCCTGAGGACTCAGGTGTTATTCCTCTGTACCCAATAAATTCACGCCATATCCCACTCTTCAAACCGAAACACAGCCACGCATCTTCTGCCATATAAGTTTTTATAGCAACAGCACAAAAAAAAACAATACGTCAAACTCACTCTTTTATATGGTTCTACGGGCAGGATAATAATATTTATAGGAAAAAGATTTAAAATTATAAAAATACCTACATAAAGTTTAATATTTTTAAAGCTTCAGCTTGACTCTATCAGAAACGTAAAAACTTGCCAATATTGACGTTAAGAAACTTGTCACGTAGGTATCAACAGTAAAATCCCCAACAAAAAGCAAATACAATTTTATTGCAAACCTCCGCTCTACTTTGGTATCATAGAGCAGTTCACTTTCTTTACAATAGCAAATTTACATACCCTACATTTGTATACGCTTGCTATGCACTTTGCATTCTCCAATGCTTGCGCCAATGTAGTCTTTTTGTTTAAGAATATGTATATATAGTACTTCATGTCATGTTCTTTATTGTATGTATATATTTACAAGAAAAATAAAAAAATTTAACCATACAGATTTCACGTTTCTAAGTGCAAGTACAAGTATGTACCTATTTAAAACTAAAAATACATAATTATCCAGTGTGATGGGATAATATTATCTTATCACTTATCACATAAACTATCACTGTCTACTCACCTTTTGCTATGACTAATTACCCATTGCTAGCAATATACCCATTAAGTCGACTCCACGCGGTCCCCCTAAAAACTGAGATAATTCTGGAGAATTCGTCATGATGAGCCTACTGTACACATTTTCAATTTCACCTATCATCCCTTATTGGAACTCCGTATTTTATTAGCGGAGGCGGGGTTACCATTCCATTTTGATTCCATTAAAACAAAAGTTCATAAAAACGAACAGAGGGAGACTGTACAAAAGTCGATTGCTTGGGTACCTCTGTCCCATTCGTGTTTCTACCGTGAAGCAGTTGTTTACATGACTGTGTTTCGGTTTGAAGGGTGGGATATGGGGTGAATTTACTGGGTACAGAGGAATAACATCTGAGTCCTCAGGAATGGCAACGCATGGGGGGGTATCATGAGCGAAACAGTATACTCTGTTATGTCCATGGTACTACCCATGTCTATAGGCGACGGTTACCACTTTCCATCAGGTGGGCCGTCAGCTTAAGAAGCGTTAAGCTTACAAGCTGAGGGCCCACCATCAGGTGGGCCCTCAGCTTGTTTAAAAGTTAATTCTAAGTTAATTCTAAGTTGTATAAAAAAAAAGAACATTTTTCATATTAATGAGGATGTTAAAAAATAATACTATTTACATTTTCTTCCCATATTTTAATTCGTAAAATCTATACAAATTCAATAATTGATCAGTTATCACTTTATATCAATATACTTAATATATGTATACTTAACAATAATAATTAACATTCTTCTTAAATATAATACAAGTTATATATTTTAAAAGGCATTTTTGGCTGTATTTTTTTGTTGTTCAGTCTAGACTAAATTTTTTCCAAATATAAATACCTACCTACTTACATATAGATGAAAAACTAAGTATTCATTTTAAACTATACCATATGATTAAAAGCAATATGAAGATAAAACAAAAAGGAAATATATATTGTAATTATTTATATCGGCTTTACTCACGTTTTCAAATTCTCAACAGGAAGCAGCCTTTATTCATAAGCACGATTCACGATTGTGTCGCCAGAATAAAAATAAATATGTAATTACAATACAGTATGACTCACGATAGTTATTATTTACCAATGTATATATAGATTTATCGACGAAATTGCTGTTATTATACTATAATCGGTAATCATTCAAACTATAATCTACCTTTAAGTGGTCATACAATAATTACTGTACCTATATGCATGTAACGAATATATTTTAATATACAGTTGTAATAGTCATTGGTGAGCCAATAAATAAATAATATAATTAAAAAATTTGTACGGTGTAAGACTACCTTTATATCTGCAAGTTACAATCATAAGTACAGTATGTTAAATACCTAACATAGTTCTATGTAAGTGAAACTTACAGATGACCTAGGAAAAAAATGGCGGGAACAGTGAACATTTAGTTTAAATTGAAGAGCTGTAGTTTGGGTATATATTTGATTACATGATTGAGCACATTTGTTTGTTATGATTATGGTGTGCTTTGAATATTACTTGTAGAACAATTATATTTTCGAGTTACGAGCTTCTTGTACATGATGCTGACAGAAATGGTCGTAAAAATGGCCGATTGCCATTGAGAAAAAAAGAAAACTAACAAATCTGTAGGAGGCTTAAAGAAAATATTATATGACATCTAAACTCAAAAATTATTACCAAGAAACAAAATTCTAAATCTTACTAATATAATAAAATTGTAACTAAACGTCTGTACATTTTAAGAAAAATGTGTCGTAATAAGAGCAATAGAAGACTGTATATTTGTTCCAGCAACACACAAAACCTACTGCAACGGAACGGATACGGTGTTCACAATTATATTTCCAAAGATTAAAAACTGATGTAGGTTTTATATTGATACGCCATCAAGAAGTGATATATCATTGTATTCCTATTTCTGAAATTCACGTATGAAAAAAAAATAGTATGAAAATAATTAGGTTTATTCTTAAGCTGTTTCCAATAGACATATGTTAATTCGACTGTATTTTTCTATGTTTACAAAGGTTACGCATCAACTAGGTTAATTATGAATTGATTTTCATAATTATTTTCGTAATAAAGCGCTTCAGTGCCAAGAACACTCGCTGGATTTCGGAGTATTTCTATAACTCTTATAATCAGTGTAGATAGGTAGGTATATATAATTTCACTCTCATAACATAGATATTAATTAATAGTACTTAGCCATATATAGCTGTTAATACAGAGGACTTGAATACTCTTCCAATACAATATAATTACAATTATTATATAATAAAACAATATCGTTATGGCGCAATACAATAGATACAGAGATTGCTTATCTGGAAATCATTATATTATGATCAGTAAACTTAACTTTAGATACCTTTAATTATTAAAATATTTAAACGAATTATAATCAACAAAATTATATATTTATTTTAATATAATAGATATGATTCAAACTACTAGGTAGGCACAAATTCGATAATAAACTTTTTTTTTTAATAGATTTTCTTTATTTTATAAGTATATATGGCCTTTTAATATAATTACAAAGAACCACTACATAAATACTACGTACTTAATTCATAATTGAAATTTTACGTAAAAAAATAAACACAAGATGTAAGAAAATTATTGCATGTAATTTCATATAAGGTATTCACATTTATAATATGAAATTAGATTGTTTAAAAAAAAAATCAAACGTAATATTTCTAAATTTATAACACGTAAAGTGAGCAAATTTCTAACGTATTCAACATTAGTGAATGGTACTGGCACGCTAATAATACAAGTCACAAATGTTATTATTAAATGTAAAATTTTAATGATAAAAATACATTAAAATATACAACAATTATACACTTACAATAATCATTAGATGATTATCATCCAGCAAAATTATTCAGCTTAACAAAACAAGTCACTGAAATTGTTTCGTCACATAGTAGCGGTCACGCTTGTCGTAAATTGTTAGATAAGTATACAAAATGTCGAAGAGAAAGAAGTATTACAGGAAATTTGCTACGGCACAATTTTTATGGCATCGCCATCGGCATTTGGGTGGTATATTTTACTAAAGACAGTTCTTGAAGTAAATGACATAAAAGGAGGACTCTATCCGATAGGATTCGAACCCGAATCTAAAGTTAAAATGAATCACTAATTATACTACGGATGGAATTAGTGAACAAATTTTTCAACCACTACCTTTTAATCTTTCAACACATTTTTTTTTAATGAATTACTAACGACCCTACCTGGCTTCGCACGAGTGCAAGTGCAAACTAAATAGCGTCGCCGGCCTCCCATTACATTGCGACATTTCATTAGGAACCTCTAAAATTATCAGTATTTCTCTACTATATTAAGCATGTATTATACATATAAACCTTCCTATTGAATCACTATTAAAAAACCGTATCAAAATCCGCAATAGTTTTAAAGATCTAATGATACATAGGGACAGACAGATGGTAATCGAATTTGTTTTTTTATAATTGTTTTAAAATCACTAAAACTGAATATAGGTTGCACATAAAAATATATAAAAACAAATAGGAGTTATTTTCAATTTAGGAGTTATTTATCATTATGAAAAAGATTTAAATAAGAAAAGTGACACAAAAACATTTAAAATAATCCCGCATTTAAATATAATATAATTCAAACACGATTTACTGTATACAATTACAGTAGTGACTCTGGCTGCTCAGCGTGCCTAAATTTATTTTTACACAGAATGCCTAATTCTTGTTAATGTAGTATTAAACATAACAATGAAAAATGTATTGGACAAAAGTGGAAAGAGACCGATGCTAAGACCTATATTGACCTATCATCACCAGATGGACCGTATACTGTCAAAACAAGTATCACGGAAACCACCACGAAAAAAGAAAATAGATGTTACAAGATATATACTAGACATTTTTATTATTATCCGTAACACGACACGACATCGTACAATTTTACCGTCACAATATATTTTGTTTTGAATTTCCGTGCATGTCGATATAATAATCGAAGAAAATAGCTGAAAAACAATTGTTTACGCTCTATTGTTATACCGTGACGATATAATCGTATCGTTCTACATTAAATTATAACCTTGTAAGGATAAAGAGTGCTAACGTTCAATTGTACCCTATCACCTCAAATCAGTCATCTGTCCACTGCTGTACATAGACCTTCCCTAAAGACTACCATAAGGAACGGTCCTGAGCCACCTGTATGACTTGCTGCAATGTATTTGAGGTCATCACTCCATCTAGTGGGAGAGTCGTCCTACACTCTGTTTGCCCTTACGGAGCCGCCACTCATTAACCTTTTTTCCCCATCAGTTGTCGGTTCTTCGAGCTATCTGATCAACCTATTGCCACTTCAGCTTACTAATCGTTCGGGCTATGTCAGTTACTTTGGTTTTTTTTTTCGGATATTCTCGTTTCGGATTCTATCACGCAAAGAAACTTCGAGCATAGGCTTCTCCATAGCTCGCTGAATAATCTGAAGCTTTGGCAACCGTGTAGGTCCATGTTTCGATTCCATAAGTCATCACTGGCAACATGCACTGGTTGAAAACCTTCATCTTCAAACTTTTTTGGATGGAAAGATATGACGTAGACGTAGATTCGTCGATTGACCTCTTTGTCGAAGTTAAACTTACTTAGTGGGACAAGCTGTCTCTAATATACAAACTCATCGATAACTTCGAGTTGGCATTCATGAAAAATAATCTTAAAAACACCAATGACTTAAATCGACACTGCAACTAATTAAACAATGCTACTTAGTAATAAAAATTATATTAATACAAAAGTCTTAATTTGAAATAAAATGAAAAACATATGAATAGTAAAATCGGCTTAATATTTTCATAATGATGATAAAATAACATGAATACACTTATACCAGCTATTAATAGTATATAAAGTAACTGGTGTGATCTGTATTAGGGATAGGAAATATCACTGCTACCTTTGTATTGGTACATACAAAATCACATAATATCAGACTATATTGATGTTGTGTACTCTATAACTAAAGGACATGTAATACATGATATGAATATCACTGTTTTCAATTTGTGAAGTATGTGTCACCCATATGATTGAATATGACAATGAGTCACCAAAATTAAGTATACAGTATGCGTGCCATTCAATATCTGGATATTAAATCAATCAAATGTTGATACAACTATATACAATTTGTATCACCTTGCTTATTTTTCATTAAATATAATTCATGACCTTATTTGATCTGCATAATTTTTCGATAATTTATAAATTGGTATTGAGTAGAAATAAAATTTGCATCAAATAAAAATATTGTTTTAAATTTCGAACTATCACATGGCATATTATAATTATACTTGATACAAAAGGATAACATTTTTCAAGCCTTTCAATTAGACGGTAATTTTCTTTCATACTTAAAGAAATTTATCCAAACATTGCACCACAATTGGAACATCTTCTGTTCTTTAGAGCGAGACAGCACAAAATACCAATTGGAAAGAAGAATATAGCACAAAGTATACCCAAACAAGTAAAGTCATCCTCGAGGATGCCAACACGGCAGGCTGGGCATGCTCCAACCGCAAGCAATGTTGGCTGCACTGGTTGTATTATGATATTTGTAGCCCCATAGTTGGGCATGTAACCTGGTTCTGGTTGAGGAGGTGGTGGCGCTCCATAGGGGGTGTATCCAGGTGGTGGTGGGGGATGCTGTGGACCTGGTGCACCCATGTTTGGTGGTTGTGGCATAGGTCCTGAAAATTGAAAAATATTATTTGAGAAAATACCATAAAATTAAAAAAAAAAAAATTAAATAAATATATTAATACAGTGAATACTAAATAAGCAATCTCCCTATCAGCAACATTCTTTACATTTTATTTATTCTACTCAGCTTAGTTAGTAAAAGAAATAAGTAAAAATATTTTCCAGTCAGTAAATATTTTTCTACTTCTCTCTTCCCTATAAGAAAATTTTGTATTGAAATTGGTTCAAATGAGTTGCTCACATAGAGTGTTCACTGTATATAAATTAGTGATTTTGTATTTACATCTAAAATAAAAATTTTCATGCATGCACCTATAGTTTGATGCCCACATTATAAGTACAGTATCAATTTAATTTCCCTTAACATTGGTTATCTGTTTTATGTTAAATAATAAATACCTAAATAATATTGTCTTAGAACATTTAAAAACATCATATTGCATTTTATAAGTATGCAAAATATAAGTACTGTCATATATGTTTTTTTAATATTACTTTCTTTACATATTTATACAATCTATTTTATATACATAATTAATCTTTTGTCTGCTCGGCTTTGTAGCAATTATTGTACACCTAGCATCCAACATTAAATTTTTTAATATTTCAAACTTTTTTTGTTGTATATTCTGTTTCTAATTTATTATTGTGTTAGTCTTTGGCAGAATTAAGATTATTTGCCTGCCGGGACCAAGTCTGTCTTATAGCTGAAAGCTCTACTCCATATTCTAGGGTGGACACCGAGTGGGCACGGCCCACCTAGACACCCCCTCCAAATACACATATGATGTAAATAAATTATAATAAAAAGAAATATATAAACATTTCAATGTCGGATAAATCAAGACTTGTGCTGTAAGTCATGCTTACAATCTTTACATAAATTCAACTGGGATGATTAAAAGATTAAAGCATACTTTATGGAACAAAGAACCAAAAATTAATAGGTTTTGTATTCAGTATTGACAATATAGTTTTATCATTAATTATTAAATATTTAACAATTCAGTAATAAGTTATTAGAAATATGTTAATACCTTTGTTAGGATATTGTGTAAACATTTATATTTGTTAAAACTGCACAATGATAGCACAGCGTTGGCTGACAGTATTATTTTTCATAACAAAACAGTTAAAACAACAACAAGAATTAATGATCGTCATTATCAAAGGGATGCAATGACATGAACGGTAGGTAGGTACACTGAGTTACCTTATCACAGCTATTAGTAAATACAATGATCCGAGATACCATACCTTGATTCATAGCCGAGGAATAAGGCGGTGGTTGATCAGTTACCGCTTGTTTCTCCATTTTTCCTTATAAAGAAAAAAAATAACAAGTCTTTTTTTTATATGTGAAATAGCTTCAAGAGCTAAATCGACAATAGTCGGTCCTTTAATCGTATATACAAAACAGGAAACTTCAATAAGTACATAAAAAAACCAAAACACTTGATATGATGAATTGTGACAATTTGAATGACAGAATAGAGTGAGTGACAAAGTTAAAATAGACTAGATTGACACAAACATGACACATAACTAACAAGCGGCTTGAGTTAAGCGGTCATTATTTAAAATCGTAGAGTGCCGCAGATAGTATCTTTAGTCTATGTATATATAGATGCAATTTTTTTTTAATGGATGATGATGGAATGTTGTCCCCGCCTATACGATCGGTATACACTGACGGGGCATCAGTGAGGGATAATTGATGAAGATGAAAAGGCAGTTCAGTTAACCCATCTTGACAAATTCAATGATAAATTAATCAAGATGGTTCCCAGGAAGAACCGCGTGGAGATCGACCTGATAGGATATATTAATAGCAATGGGGAAATAATGATGAGGATGGATGATTACTAACAATCCCTTCCCTCCAGATGTAAGATTAAAGATAGTATTCACTTTCTATGGTACACCTAGTTATTTATTGCTGTAAGTAGGATAGAGATCAGAATTGACAAGGCAAGAAACATAACATCCTTAATATTTACCATTCTATAAAAAAACTATAAAAGAACTTTTGATATAAGACAAGATTTTTTTTGTATTGAACCATGTTAAACCAAATTATTGTTTTCCCATATTGCATATACTAAACTAGAAGGAGGCCTAGTACCTAATACAGGGGGGAAAGGGATTGTTAGTAATAGGGTTAAATAGTACCATTACTAGCAATATGTCAGGTCAACCTCCACGTAGTTCCCTCTGGAAACCATCGTGGTTAATTATAGATGAATTTGTTAGGATGGGCTAACTGACCTGCTTTCATCCTCGCCTATCATCTTTCACTGGTGCCCCGCCAGTGTTTACCGATAACATAGGCGGGGTTACCATTCCATTATCGTCTATTAAGAAGTACCTAAGACAAAAAAAATAAAAGCATTTTCAATTAACTTCAAAAAAAGGAAGAGGTTCTTAATTCGGTTATATATACCAGAGGGAGACTTTGTACAAAAGTCGATTGCTTGGGTACCTCTGTCCCATTCGTGTTTCAACCATGAAGCAGTTGTGTTTGCATGGCTGTATTACAGTTTGAAGGGTGGGATATGGCGTGAATTTACTGGGTACAGAGGAATAACACCTGAGTCCTCAGGAATGGCAACGCATGGGGGGTATCATGAGCGAAACAGTATACTCTGTTATGTCCATGGTACTGCTCATGTCTATAGGCGACGGTTACCACTTTCCATCAGGTGGGCCGTCAGCTTGTTTGCCATTCTAAGTTGTATAAAAAAAAATATATTGTTTGTTACCTCTTAACCTCGTCAGTCACTCAGTCTCCGTCCGTAAACCAATTTGAAAAATCCTTTTTTTTACTTTCAGAATGATGCTATATACATTTCTTAAAAATCAGTTGTTTGATTTTTAAATCAAAATAAATGTTTTGTCACATTTGAAGTTGGTGATTTATTTGTAGGACTTTTTGAAGTAAACAGTTTTTACAATAAATTTTGTATAAAAGTATGGTACATAAGGGATTTGTATAATTTCCTAAGAAAATAATAATGCGAAATAATTACAGTATTTTATGCATGTCACTCTGCAGTATATGTTACTGAATGTCGTTTCTTAAAAATATTATTGGTAAAAAATAAAACAAAATCAATTTGAACTTTCAAAATAATCATTATATTTCACAAAACAATAACTATTAACGTCGAAAACTAAATAACTATTTAGATGTTCGAAATATTTACAAAAGCACTTGATCAATAGGTTTTTTTCATTAACAATGTGTTTTTAAAAATTGTTGTTTAATTAAACTGCTATATAATTATTATTAAGATCAACTAATTATATTATAAAATCGTGAGGAACACATTCTAATGTCCAAAATATACAATTATCTTAACTTGTAACTTATAACAATTTACACTGGAATTTATATTTACATACAAATATATATATATAAACAAAATTTTATTGTAAACTCAAATCAGCAATACACTATGTTTCACAAATTACCAAAATTCTATCAGCAATTTTAATTTGCTAAATCATAAATAATTCTAAATATCAACATAACAATATTTGTTATAAAAATTAAATTATACTAATGTATTACTTATTTTAAATCATTATCACAATAATATAAAAATAAAATAATAGCAAATAATATTTAGAGATTATATTTTTTTTATAATTAGGTAATTAATATTCTTATGTGGCCGAAATTGAAATTTGAAAGCATAATTCACAAACAATGTTAATCCCAAGTAATTTAAAAAGTCAATACAACTGTAGCATTGTAGTTATTTATGTCGGTTTTACTCACATTTTAAATTCGAGGATGTCCAACTAGTTTAGGATTTAATAGAAGCCTTTATACATGAGCGCGGTTCAATATAATGCAATATGGCTCATAATAGTTATTATTCAACAAAATATGTTTAATTAAATGTATCAAAAATGTGATGCTGTCAAATTATTCAAAAGATATAGTGATGTTTAAAAAAATACTATACAAGCAAAGAGAAAATAAAATACTAAATCTAACATCAGATAATAATTGATCATTGTAAACCCAGAATATTGAAACATGGTAACATTTACATTAAATGACAATTTTCAAATATAATTCAACAATTTTGAATACTTCGGAGTGATTTCTAAAAAGTATTCTTATGAAGAGCTAAAACATTAATCATGCAATAAAATTGTTATTGCATGATAATTAACATGCACTAAACTTTTGGAATGTAATAGAATGGAGACTTCAAAAACTGGAAATTAAATTAGACAGTATTTGTTTCTATGATTCATACTTTAGCTCGTTATTAGAGGAAATCTTTTGGAAATATTGAAATTTGTCTCTCTTTTTTTTTTTAATTGACGTAATTTAAAGTGTTACCATACTTCAATATAAAGGATCTTTATTAAAAAAAAAACATAATAATAAAAATAGATAAGAAGTCGATATTTCACTGCATATACTACACACATACACTGGTATTATTGTAACAAAATTAGTAAGTAGTACGTCGAAATTGACTTCATTAATATGTGAATACGGATATTTTTTTGGCCTCCATGAAAAAAATTGGATGCAATTGCTATGCTAGTAGCATTAAAAATATACAAATTATAACTGTATTACAAATAATTCTTTTATTTATCCAACACAAACATGACGTAAACCAATAAGTATACACTCTTTATTCAAATTTAAGTCAATCAAACAATAATTAATATTATTTTTATATTTTAATAATATTTCTATAAAAAGTTACAATTTATATTCGACAAGTCTCTATGAAGTAGGAATAAATTCGAATAAAGTATACTCATTCATTCATTAATGAATGTAAATGTACATATTCATAGTCATAACTTCCTTAGTCATAATTTAATTTTAAATTTTAAAACAAATTGTGAATATGTGCCAAATACATTATTGCTAATAATTTTGTGCTTTTTTTATTTTATAATCGACATAATTATAATGTCATATCAATAATTACAACAATTTAGAAGTCAATTTGCTATACATTAACCCTTATTCATAAAAACACGGTGATTCGTCTCCTTCTTGTACGTAAATTTTCTAAATTAAGATAAAGTGACACAACAACCTAACAATGAAAACTCAATGCAATTTTTTTATTATTACATGATTATTACATTATTATTGCTGTTGTGTTACTTGATTGAAAAATATCTAAAACTACCAAACTCCACTATAAAGGAACGAAATCCATTAAATAATGAAGTGAAAATAATAAAATGTATTTTATAAATAAATAATCTTCAGGATATGTAGTAGATTAATGAATACAAATTCAGTTTTAAGCCCATTACATTTTTTTATTATACAATAACGCGGCACATTATAATTATTCGTTACTACAAAATTCATTTGCACCATTCGTCGGCTCAAGTCTTATAATAGTTTTGCTACAGGCAAACGACAACAAATATTACCAAAATGGTAGTTTTAAAAACGTATAGGCACCCAGCAGCCCGTTTGCTCGTCGCGGCGGTAGTAATGCGGCCGGTTGTCAGGGAACACTGTGACTGCCGGAAACGGGTGTTGTTGGATGAACTTTAGTGTTACCCGAATCTGGAATAAATAAAATTACACATAATTTACTAAATTGTACATATGAATACGATCTATCACTATTCATCTCATCCATAGACATAGTTAAGAGGGAGTCGTCACCCCAGGATACGAATGGATCTTTTAACTATGCGTAAAGACATGTCTGAGTCTACATAATGTGCCTTTTTTAAATGCTCTCCAACCCCTGAAAATCTGATGTTGTCATCTATCCAGGATACTAGAAGATGCTACTTTTTGTTTATGGGTAATAATGGAATGGTAAAACCGCTTGCGCTATCACTGTTGTGGTACCAATGAGGATGAAATAAGGTCAGTTGGTCCATCGTGATGAATTCATCGATAATTAACCATGAGGTCCGCGTGGTGGTGCATCAGACCTTTATTGCTTACAAATGAGCTATTAGCTCCCGTTACTAACAATCCCTTCCCGGTGAGGAAGGAATTTTTAGTTAGACGGACTATCAGCCCCGTTGCTAGCAATATACTATATCAGGTCGATCTCCACGTGGTCCTCCCTGGAAACCATCGTGCTAAATTCCAGGGGTATTCATCACGATGGAATAACTGAATTGACTTTTCATTATCACTTATCATTCCTCACTGATGGCCCACCAGCCCATACCAGTAGCGCAGACTATTATCATTCCATTATCATAACAGGGCGACTAAGAAAACACAGTTAAGTACACCAGCGTAAACAAAAAGAAACTTTAAATAAATCCCTAATACGAGTCATGTCGTAATAGTGGGCTAATATTCTCTTTATGGAAGAAATACGAGGCCAGAAATTTAAGGTATTTTTGAAAGACTTAAAATGTTGGCGACAACCTGGTGAAAAGTGGTAACCGTCGCCTATAGATGTGGAGCACCATGGACATCACAGAACACAATATTATACCCGTAGTACCCCTCACGCATTGCCATTCATGAGCATAACATAACACCATAGTGGTGTTGTCTCCGTACCCTATAATATTACTGAATTGAGTCCTAAATCCTTTCTTCCCAATCATGGCCCTTAGAAATTGATTAAAAGTAAATTAAATATTTACTTACATTGTGCACAAAGTGCGGCGGCTCTACTGCGGGGGTGGTGCTTAGATGTTGCAAGATGAAGTCATCTGACTGCTCGAGCCACAGGTCCACGCCTCGTAGCGGGTCGTAATTGAATGGACCGATTCGTAACATGCCTACTGCATTGTCATATATATCTAAAACCTGAAAATATTCAATTAATTGGGTTTGTTACCTCAGTATATTCATAAGCACACCTTTTACTATCATCGTATTGAAGACTGATCATAGATGTATTTAAGTTTTTCTTGAAGTTTCACAAAGACATGTTTGAGAATACATACACGTCTAGTTTACGGGCCCAGGGTCGCCCTAGAAAATAATATTTAATACGCCAATGAAAATGATAGATTCAATTTTCAATACAAAATATATTTCCGTTTTAACTTGAAATCCATTATGAATAAATTTTTCTCTCAGTAAGTTTTTTATATTTTTATGGGAAATGCATACCGTCCCTACAGAAGTTTCACTTCCAATATAGAGTTTAATTATTTATTATTATTATTTTTTTACCTAGAAGAATTTTTTTTCTGTGAGAATGATAAAAAAAGAAATATTGCGTTGATCTGATCATTTGAAGAGGATAAATGAAAGAAGAATGACATAAAAGATTTATTTCGACCATCAATGGTGTATCTAATGAATGGAAATATCAGTAGGGGCCGCTCTAGACAGACGAATGTCGGCTAAATAGGCGACGTGTTGAATAAGGGTCAAATTAAAATTACTCGCAACCGGCGAATATGTATGATAAGATTGGTAAATATAAAGGAAACAAAAGAGGTCTGTCTGAATCGAAACATTTGGTATTCCATTGTTTCTGCCTATTTGAATAGAAGGCAGGAATGACAGATATGTATGTATGTACATTTTTTTTATTTGATATGTATATATAAAACAAAATTTTTTTTTTTTAATATGAACTAACCTGCGCAGAGTGCGGCCCGCCTGTGATCATCCTCGCCTCCCTAAGAGGCAGTTCCGGTCCCTTATCCGGGAAGGTGGCTGGGAACAGGTCCCCGGCTCGGATGTCGACGCCGACGCCGGTCACGAGCGGCGCCGGCGAGCCGCCGCCGAGCGCTGTGTTCAACTCACAACAGCACGCGAGAGTTAAGTCGATCTCGACCGTCAGTCGATGGAAGGAGACTGTAAATTAATTGTATTTATTTATGTTATATCCTTTCTGTAGTTAAATATAAATTGAACCATAACTTGCGCTAGCTAGTATCGAGTGAGGAAATGAACGAAGTCGGACCAGTTGGATCATTATAACTAATTCACCAAAAATCAACGACGACTGACTTTATATAATACTAGTAATGGTACGTAAGACCACCGCACCAACAATCATCCGCCAGGGAGGGAAACAATAGCCTCATTGCTAGCAATATGCCTTATCAGGTCGACCTCCATGCGGTTCCTCCTGGAAACCATCGTGGTTAATTCTTGCCGAATTCTTCACTATGGGCCGACTGACCTTCCTTCACCCTCACCTATCATCTATCACTGGTGCTCCGTCAGCGTATATCGTTAGCGCAAACCGGGTTACCATTCCATTATCACCCATAAAAAAAAAACAATCCTCCACCTATAGTGATGTCCATTTATGGTGGAGAAAGAACACTGTTTTACTAGATTACTAGAAGACAGTACAAGTCATCAAGTCATCAGCATGGATACCTCTGTTCTTTTCGTATTTTTATCGATAAGTACTTAGTTGTGATTGCATGACTGTATCAATTTAGCAGTTAATATATTAACTTTATCTTATATTTTTATTATTTCAGCCGTTAACTGTCCACTATTAAATATAAGCTTTCCCCATAAGGGAAATTTTGCTAGTAGTTGCCACACTTGGCAGATGTTAACTATATATTTTTACATAATACATATAACAACATAAATTGAACATGTGATCAAAGCTGTCCAGAGTACCCGTCCATGCACTCATAAAATATGAATACAGCTCTAACAGTGGATTAAGCAAAACATCTTAAAACATCTTAAGACAGATGGATTTGACACTTGACTCCCTCTACTTGTCCTGCAAGGGACTACGTGTTAATATAAAAAAAAACTATACTACCGTTACCTCCTACTAAAAAAGGACTAGGACACTACTTCAAAGGTTAAAGTACAGTACAACTAGGTAACATTGATTAAATAATACGTGCAACGATTACGTATAACTATTACGAAATGTTACAAACCGCTATTTAATTTCTTAGCAATAAAATCTACGTCTACCTCTATACATAACAATAGATAATATCGTTTCGCCTAGTCGCCAGCCCACGCTCTATTCAGATGATATTTCTTATCTTTTGGCACTAAAACAAAGCTGATGTAAATTAAATAACTTCGTATTTCACTAGTTGTTTTTCCGCGGCTTTAGCTGTACCGAACCCATCAACATTTTCGATCCAACCAAACCAATAAAAAAAATATGAGTATCATCAGATAAACAGAATTAAATAAGAAAAGTTTAAGATTTTAGTTATTTTTACATTATTAAAATAAAAACAACAATGTGAAACAACAACAAAAATGAAATGAATTAGAATTTAACATAAAATTTAACGTACTTAAGATTTAAAATACATAAATAAATTAATACAGCATACAATGTCATCTACTTTAACTAAACAAAGTTGATACTGTGAATACTAAATAATAAATACTAATAATAGTTGTTAAAACTGTAAAATAAGAAACTGAGGATTAATTTTAATAAAGTACATAAAATATAAATATGATGTTTTTTTACAAAAATAACACAATCAAGAAACATGCAATTAACAGATGTTCAGCGATCTTAAAATGTCATACCACCTTAACGACGTCGAACAATATGATATCGATAAGAATGTAGTGATTATTTGCCCTGTAATGATTCATCGACAATGATTCATTATGTTTGGATTTTGTGTTACAATTGTAGTTTAAAAGAAAATAAAGCAAAATTGTAAGAAATTTAGGTTCAAATTCTATATATATATATATATATATATATATATATATACGAGGTTTGTCCGGAAAGTACGTATAAAAGTTTTTTAAAAATTTTATTTTACAATTATTCAGGTAAATCAATTTTATCCCCTTCAAAGTACTCCCCCTGTGACATAATGCACTTGTGCCAACGCCGTTTCCACTGTGAGAAGGCTCCTTGAAAGTCCTCTGGTTGTAGGTTTCTCAGCTGCCCCGTCGTAGCTTTTTTTATCTCATTTATGTCCCCCAAATGCCGCCCCCGAAGTACCAATTTGGTTTTTGGGAACAAGAAGAAGTCACACGGGGCCAAATCCGGCGAATAGGGGGTGTTCGGTCACCGTAATGGAATTTTTACTCAAAAACTCACGGAACGATCTTGGCGCAAATTTTTTTCATTTGAAGTTCGTTTCTTAGAATTTGGTGGACCACGGTTTTGCCCAAATTAAGCTCTTCAGCCACCTGTCTGACCGTTAAACGACGGTCCCCATTAACACAAGTTCGAATTCTTTCCACGTTTTCGTCGGAATGTGAAGTGGAAGGACGTCCTGAACGTGGGTCATCTTGAACGCTTTCTCGGCCCTCTCTGAATCTTTTTAGCCACTTGTGGACGGTTGGTTCCTTCACAGCATCATCCCCATAAACTGTTCTGAGATCGGCAAAAATTTCACGGCCATTCTTGCCGAGTTTCGAGAGAAACTTGATTACGACGCGCTGCTCTTCAACGGAAGCGGGCTCCATGCCGACGGGGTTTCGTTAAGAGGTAACTTCACAGATGGCGTGACAAGCCAGTTCGCACCGCACGGCGGTCAGACCAGAACTGAAGCATTGTTAGGGACATAAGGAAGGGGTCCTGCGCTTACCTGGCCTCCCCACTCCTCTTTCTCGCATTCCAGAACACTTTTATACGAACTTTCCGGACAGACCTCGTATATATATATATATATATATATATATATATATATATATATTATATCTATATATTTAAGATTTCCTTTTTTTATTTATAGTGTACACTGAATGGGCCTATGTACCATACAACTCTGGAAAGCCACTTTTTTAGACTTCTATCTCCAGCAGTTCTGATGCACTGTTATATCTAATCATTAGAAAAAATCGTTGAGCGTTAATGAACTAAAATATGTATATTGGTAAATGAATAAATTCGTTGTAACTTATATATATTTAGAATTTATATATATATATATATATATATATTTATTTATACTATTTTATATTTATTTATTATTTTGCACATATTAAAATATGTGTACAGGGCGGACTTAATGCCTAATGGCATTCTTTACACGTCGACCATTACGCTAAACAGAGAGAGTAAATGGCGATTCATTTGTCAAACAAAATCAATTTGTAAATGAAATAAATATTTTAATAGATAACAACATTAACACATTTTAAGATGAATACATACATACAGAATAATATACTTACAAAAATTATACATACATAAATACCATACAATACAATACGTATACAAATACAAAATAAGTAATATAATAAATATATAAGTTTTGGCTAATCAATTATTAGTTCGTATAGATTGAAGCTTTTAATTTTTTTTTTTTTTGATATAATTTTCACGAAGGGACTTTTTAAATGAAAATTTAGTTAGGGAATTTTAGATATCAATAGGTAGCACATGCCAAAGGTGGCACATGGCAGAGATGGTAAATTTGAATGAGGAGGTGAAGCGAAAATCGCGAGAGTGGGTAGTACTTAATAATTGGAATCTTTCTTTAAGACACTGAGGAGATTGTGAGCCATAAAGAATAGAAAAATAGATGATGACTCTAATTTTATAATATATATTATATTATCCAAAAGCGATATGATCGGTGAGTGAGGGTATACAGTAATAGGTTAGAAGTGGTGCGAAGATCGCGAGAGTAGGTTGTACTAAAGAATTGGATTTTTTTTTAAAACTCTGAGGAGATTGTGGGTCATAAGGAATAGAAAAAAAAATGACAAAGAACTCTATAATACGTATTATAATATAGAGTCAAAAATTTAACATTCTTCTAAATTCAAATCCGGACTCGGTGTGCACTCAATGACACTACTGTGACAAATGGGCCATTAGTTTGCTTGCCTAGTTGAATAAAAATTACTATGGTTTTATAAACCGCCAAATAATTGTTTAGTCTCCAAATCAAATTAATGCTCGACTGATTGGCATTGACATACTTAAGATTATTTTCAGATTTGACCCCTTCAAAAAGACGCATGATATTCTCTGAAACATGTATTGGCGCATAGCTGAAAACTATGCTCGAATCCTAAGGTAGTAATTCTGAGGCTAGCATGTCTCACCACTCAAGACATCAAGACAAGACACTCTTTTCAAACTATAAAATATACTTTATCTACCATATCAGCCAGTATAAATATCAATGGCAAACTTCTTTTTAACATTTTCAAATGTTTTTTTTTTTCGAGAAATCATTGAAGAATAAAATATATAAATAAACATTTAAAAATACCTTAACAAGCGAAACCGGTTAGGTGTTTATTGTAACAATTGGTGAAAGAGTACAAGTGTTTTTGTAATAACATAAAAAAAAATGAATAACATAAAAAAAAACTTCAAAACACTAGCCACTCACGCATGATGTTAGCGAAGAGTTCGTCGGAGTACCGGTGCGGGTCAGTGAACCCACCGACCAGCTGCAGCTCAAGCCTGCCCTCCGGGTAGCCGACCGCGAGCTGTTGGACCCTCGCCACCATCGCGCTCGCCGCCTCCGCTGTGCCCGACCCGTCGAAGTGGGCTAACGCCACTGCGCCAGATCCTGGAAATTGGAAGAAAATAAATACCGTTGGATATACATTGCCACCTAGTCTCAAACTAAACAAAACTCCAACTATGGGTACTTGACTACTAAAGAAATACTTTGTTAACAGGAGACTTGTCATTAATCATGTCAATATTAACATAAGAGTTTATCATTATTGTAGTATTATATAAAAAATCATATAGAACTCTTACAGAGTTAAGCTCGCCTGTTGTTGTCTTTATTTAATATATATTATGTTTGTAATTTTTTGTGTATAATAAAAAAATATATATAGAAATAGTTTTTACAAAGGTGGATTCATTCCTTCTTATTAGAGGGCATTTCAACAGAATTCAAGATGAGAACTAGGATCGGTTCAGAAAAAGCAATAATATCTATGATTTTATCGAACCAGGGCAGAAACTTGATAGTCACGACCTATTTCTTAAAGGAAAATTAAAGTATATAAACAATGCAGTTAAAATAATTGGAAAAATATTTTAATTTGTATTTATACTTACAAAAACACGAAAGGAATACAATGGTGATTTTGATAGTCGTTTACATTTCTAATATACATAGAACAGTAACACGACACAAAAACAGCTGGATGATAATATTAAAATAATAAAAAGATTTAATACCGCCTCACCAGTGTTACAGATAAATTCAAAAATATAATTAAAAATTGTGTCCCACAGAAAAACTGACTTTGATTGTGACAAAACCAATTATTTTTATTTAAAATTTCTATAGGTATATCTAATCTGTAAGTATATCCTTTCAGATAAAAAAAAAGATAATTTCCCAAATTGATTTAGAACTAACAGAGTTATGAGATAACAAACACAAAAAAAATCACAACCGTATTGAGAACCTCATTTTATTAAAGTTCGTAGATAAAAAAAAAGTGTAACTGTACGCTAACGCGTGAAAATGCCGCCCGAGGTAGGTGATTCTATTTATTCCACTGAACAGATAGAGTATTGAAATACCTATATGAACGCAATTATTAACTTTGTTGAAATGTAACAAAGTTAATAATTGCATTCATAGGTATAATTATTTTTTAGTTAATTTCTTACCTGAATGCCTGACGACAACTATAATACATGATGTGGCATCGTCTGATCCAATAATGTTGACATTTTCTGAAAAGAGAATAATAAAGATTCATTACACTGAGGTCCACAAGATTCATTACACTGGGGTCCACTTACAAAAATATACATATGTGCGTACATTACCTGTTAACATTAGCAATTACCAGAGGGATAATGTACAAAAATCGTTTGCTTAAATACCTATGCCTCATTCGTGTTTCTGCCGTGAAGCAGTTGTGCCTGCATATGTGACTGTGTTTCGGTTTGAATGGTGGGATATGGCAATGAAATTACAGCATACAGAAGCATAACACCTTAATCCTCAGGAATGGCAACGCATTATAAGTATTGATTGATCAATCATATATTATACGGTATCTGCATCAAATCTGAATCTTTTTGCATTTGATTGATTTTATTCCTATATTGCTCATGTATATATTATTTTTGTTTCACAAAAATTCAATAGTCCAACCAGAGAGAGACTTTGTACAAAAACCGTTTGCTTAAGCACCTCTGTCCCATTTGTTTCTACTGTGAAGTAGTTGTTTGTATGGCTGTGTTTCGGTTTGAAGGGAGGATATGCCAGTAAATTTACAGAGTACAGAGGAATAACATCTGAGTCCTCAGGGATGGCAACGCATGATATAGTATCATCGCCGACAGAGTATACTCTGTTACATCCGTGGTACTGTTCATGTCCATAGGTGACGGTTACCACTTCCCATCAGGTGGGCCGTCAGTTTGTTTTGCATAAAAATAATTACATGTAGAGTTCGCTGCTAAAACTTTTTTTTAGTTCTAAATAAGGCCAGAGAGTTAGCATGAACAATAAATTTCATTTAAAGTGTTTCTATGATAATATAAATATAAATACTAACTGTCATGTGGCACAACCGCGGCGAGTTCCCTCTGCGCGACGTAGAGCAGCCCGGCGGGGCCGACCACGCGGGCGGCGGCCGCCAGCAGCTGCGCGGCCGCGTCCCTGTACCCGGGGTGGGTGGCGAGGAGCGCGCGCACCGACGTCGGACACTCGTCCGCGAGCACGCCGTTCAGCACCACCACCATGATAGCGCTGCAACAAATATAGCCTAAGTATACTTTCTGTAAATAAAGCGAACAATGGATAGGAGTGATTGTTAGTGACAGGGACTACCGGCCTCATTACTAGCAATACCCTGTCGAGTCAGATTGACCCGGTCCTCGCAGTCTCCCCTGAAAACCATTATAAATAATAATAATAAATTCTATCAAGATGTATCAACTGAACTACCTTCATTCTCACCTATCTAATGGAATACCTTACTAATGGACGACACAGTAATCCTATCGACACTAGCAATTTTTTTTTATGCAAATTTAAAATGAGGGCAATAACAACAAAGTGAGGGCACATCTGATGCAAAGTAGTAATTTATGTCTATAGATACAAAGTAGTGTACTTTGTATTTATAGACAACAGGCAAAATCGACATACAGAACGTCATATTATGACGTTCTGTATGTCGCAATGTGATTACTCCTCATATCCTTATACTTGTCAATATTATTAAGCACTACAGTATTACACCTGCCTCTCTAAATATTTTACTCTTCAAACTAAAATGCTAAAACAGCCCTGCAAACATAGATGTTTTTGACAGAAAAAGGATTAAGACAAATGCACCTAAGCAGACAACTTTTGAAAAAAGTAAATATACGATTTAGACATCCATATACAAACCCAATATTTACATTCTAAGACAAACTTACTCCAAAACGAGTCCCTATTTAAAATTAAAACAAAAGAAATATGCGCATATTGTAGGACAAATATGATACATAAAAAGATAAAACCACATAGAATATTTTTAACTTAATTCACGCGGACAAAGTTGCGAGATGTAAGGTGGTAAATAATAATATTAAATTATGTCCATTTCCAATACATAAGCGCGTTGAGTGACGCTCACTCAATTGTCTGCTTGTAATATATTCAGAATGCCGCAGGGTCACACGACTGACACCGGTCCCCATTTTACACAAGCCATCGCGTTCATTTGCTATGCGCCGGCGCTTATGGTAATACCCTTACGCTACCGACTTCACGAAGTCACAGAACATTGTTAAATAAACGAAAATATATGTTTAAACACTTTGAACTTGCGATAAAACGACAAAAAGAACTAAGGAACTAGGGTTGCCATCTAAAGTTGAATTTAGAATAAACAGCGCCATCTATTCATAAAACACTAAGAAAATTGATAAACATATTTAATTTATTTTTTTGCAAAGACATACACATGGAACACACAAATCAACATACGACTTTAAACGACTTTGGAAACGTGGAATCGAGACTACAAGTATATTTTGTTTTTCAATAACTAAGTTTTTCTCCGGAATAAAGAACGACAGTTTTGATTATTACAAAATTTATAATCAATACAGCAATAAACTCTTTCACCAAAAAAAAAAAATCAACGTCTTTCCATTCGCTAAGATATCGCGTTATATACACACAAAAAATACTGACGAATTGGGAGCCTTCTGCTTTTTGAAGCAGTTTACAAACAAATAACAATCCAAGCAGAATATAGAATAACACACGGTCTCCAAATTATCACTTAGGTATATGTTTCGTGGAACTATTGTCTTGAACAGATCCATAAACAAAATAATTATCATTCAACTAATTTTAGCCAGTAACCAAAACATAACCGCTGTTCAACAATGAGTTTTTTCTTAATTAAACTACTGATAAGGAAAATTAGTAATGCACTGATAACAGTACGTGTAAAATTATTTTTTTCATATATTTTATACCTATAAAATCTTAAGGAAATCAGGAATACCAACGACTGTTAGATACGACCTTTTTTATCTACTGCTTGAACTCTAGTGATCGTAGCGTGATGGTATTTACCATTTATAGGTACTATTTGTAGTTCAAACAATACTAAACTTCTGAAATTTTAAAAGAAATATTCGTAGATTGTTGCTAAGAGACTTGTACAAATAAATAGTCACATGTAAATTACAAAATATCTGTAATAATTCAGCAACGCCCCACCGCTTCCACTAATAAGAGAAGGTACCAATATTACGGTGACCAGACGTCTTGGTTGTTACTTCAAATTTTCCTTCTCTTATAGTGGTATATTGTGTTTTATTTCTTTTAGTAGCCTCTTACGACAAGATGTATTTTATATCTAAAGGCAAAAATCAATTTTAATTGTAATGTAGCGTAATGAATGTAATGTAAGTAGGATCATTATACAACTTCCCATTCGGACTGTTTTGCATATTTATATTTAACATAGCCAATCGAGCTCCTTTCAGAAGCACAGAAGCATTCTGGTATTAAAGAAATTTTTGGAAGCGACCTCACTGTTTAGATGATTTGTACGCATTTTTTAATAGGTAAAAATGGAATGGTATTCCCTATGGTTGCCTTGGCATCGGTATACGCTGGCAGGACGCCAGTAAGTGATAGAATAGATGAGGATAAAAGAAGGTCAGTTGGCTCATGGCAATGAATTCAACAAAAATTAATCACGATAATAATTAAGGGGGTGGAGGTTGACCTGACGGGGTCCATTGCTAACAATGGAAATTTTAGACTTCCATTACTAACATCTCTTTTCCCCTCTATTTGTGCACTTTTGGAAGGGACAGCTTTACCTCCCACGTCTAGGATTATGTAGGCTTCCAATTTTTCGACTTTAAAACAGTCTCGGCAGTATATACGATGCTTATTGTGTAGTATTTAGTATTACACAGTAATATTTATTTCAGTATTTGTTTAGGAGACAGTAGCCCATAAAGACATAGGGTACTTTTTATCCCAGTTCATGTGTAGAAAGTAATAGGGAAAAAGTAGTTATCTATGTCAGATCTAATTTACGATAAAACTTATAGAACGATATTGAATTGTAAAGCCTAATAAATATATAGGTATATATTTAATGTTTACACTACGTAATTATGATTTATTGTCATTATCAGCTGGTAAATTGCGAAACTCGAACATTAACCGTCACACACTCATTAATTGGACGATAAATATTAAAAAGTCGTAAATATACGGGTATGTGATTATAAATTGACGTTTCATAATTTAATTTAAAAATAGGTTATTTTATTACATAGTTTATTTTGTTACAAAAATATAAATAAAATTATTTAGTATTAAATTTTAAAACATTAAAATAAATTTTCCATATGAGGTAAAAAATGTCTTTGAAGTATCTGCCGATTGGTAACGTGACTATGAGATTGACTACATCACACACCCAATCTATGCATCGAAGCCTAAAAATATAAAAAAAAATCAGATACAGACTAACTCCAAAATTGATACTTGAAATTGAATGATAATTTACCTTACATGACGGTTATTTTTAGCGAATACGAAAAACCTTGGGAACGAACGATGAGAGTTCGCGCAATAATGCAAGGGAAGGAAAACTCAACACGGTTAACAATGATAAGCCAATCGATATTGTCCTCTCATGAGCGCTTTTATAATCTAGCATAATACATTAAGGCACAGATATTATTGATGACAATACAAAAAGAAAATTAGCAACTACATGAAGATGTTAGGAAATAAAAAATAGTAACAGTGAAAACAGTACAATCGATAGTAAACATAGTTTATTTACTACAACAAGCAAATTATTTTGCAATTATGTGAAGAATTTGGAAACCTTAAATAATACGAGTAACAAAATACAATTATAATTGGAGTCAAACGTGACTCATTTAACACAACAGCAGGTATACTACGAGTAATGTAACAAAACGACAGATTAGTGCATTACATAAAAATCTTTGCGTGAAAGTGTTGAAGGTTTAGAATTGTTACAAAGCTAAATATGATGCAATGCTGAGATTCAAGTTTCGTCCGCACGAAGAAGTGAAAAGTATTTTACAAAAGTCAAACACCAGTCCACGTCCTTGGGCAAACGAGGTATGATTAATGATCGACCAAGAAATTGAGACGCAGTGTTGGCCATTCAGTCATAAAAAAAAAACAACTGGGTAAATACGAGTTGAGCACGCGCGGTACCGGTTCCGTAGCATAAAAAAAATAGTTTTAAGGAAGTGTTCTGTCAGCGAAACTAAAAGAATGCCCAAAATGGGAGCGGAAAACGATAATACGTATTGACCCACCTATGCTGACTTAAAATCTGAACACGCCGTGTTAATATTAAAGAGGAGGTTTAAATTATTGTCGTTTTCGAGCCATATTTCTATAGAAAAATGTTCAGTTAGTGACAGAACACTTTTTTAAAAAAATTCTACAGATTTCCTTTTCTCTCCTATATAATATACTATTACAAGTTAGATTCAGTTTACAGGCGCATATTACTCGTAGATGTCAAAACGCACCCATAAGAAAGAAGGAAGATTTGGATCTATTCATTCAAAAGATGTATTCAAAGCTACATTTTACATGAATCGATGGAAAAAAAGGTAAAGAAAATGAGAATTACTTAAACTACTAAAGTTGATAGAGCAACAGAAGAACAAATATGATGAAATGAATGAACAAATTTGCTTACGTTCCGTTTAAGACATTTCGTTACGGAACCTAAAAGCCCGTTCATGCATTCAAGATGCGCCCGCCGGTAATTTTTAGTGGTAACTCCACCATTGTAGAGTCACTGATAACAATAGCCTAATTATCTGACTCAAATAAATTACTTGTACCATCAATCATTAAAACATTATTGATACAATATTGAAGAGATGGTTAGTATCTCAAATATTGACGGTGAGAAGGTTCAAAAGTTAATATTTGTAATAACGTACAATAAAACAACCGTGGTTAGAAATGTATGCTGTACGTTTACATGTATGTTTGTCTATTCATTTCTTACTATTTCCAATTGTTGTTTAGTAGTTTTATGATAGTTGTATCTAAAATTTTAATGAATTCAGTAATTATAATATTACAGAGAATCGATATAGACAGTTACTTAAAATCAAGTCGCTAATTGATCTAATACTTCACCTTGCGGTTGAGTTCAAGGTCAGGAGTAACCTTCTGTTTTTCATCATCTTCACTGTAATCACCTCTTATCCGTG